GTTTTGGCGTCTAACTTTAAAAAAACTAAAAATTCAAAATTGCATAACTACACATCCATAATTTCACTACACATTCATAATTTCATAACTACACATCCATAATTTCATAACTATACATCCAGAATTGCATAACTACACTTCCAGAATTGTATAACTACACATCCAGAATTGCACTTCCAGAATTTCATAACTACATATCCAGAATTGCATAATTACACTTCCAAAATTGCATAACTATAATTCCAGAATTGCATAACTACACATCCATAACTTCATAACTATACTTCCAGAATTGCATAACTACACTTCCAGAATTTCATAACTACAAAATCCAAAATGAATGAACTAAAAATGAATAACATAATGTTGTTGTTGGGAATCAAAACTGATTTTTTTTTTTTTTTTTTAAGTAGGGCGTACGTTTTATACAAAACGGCGTCGATTTTGCATCCGTATGCATCATGCAGGGTGCATACGGATGCACAGCATAATTTGCCAGGATGGAAACTGTCCTGTGGACTATAGTCTATAGCGACTTAGTTTTTGTCATCTCCTTGCTGAAAAAGCAACAGAGAAATAAGAAGAAAGAGAGGGGCATATATAAATTAGACAGGTCACTACTACTACTACAACAGTTTTTTCTCCCCATTTTGTGCTTTTCACATTCAAAATTATTATTATTATTATTATTATTATTATTATTATTATTAGCGTTTTTCCCTTTAATTATTATTATTACTTTTTACTCTCTCTCTCTCATTTTATCTGTCCTACTTATTATTCATTGATCAAACCTACTATTTTGTCTTTGTTTATTTTCTTTAGTATTATTTACTTATTTTTAAATTTAAAATTATTTTTTTTGTGTTTAATAGTACTTTTAGTGTAGTTTCTAAATATATAAATTTTGTATATTAATACTAAACTTAATAATATAAAAAGTTAAATTAAAAATAACTTCAGTCAAGCCTTGTTAACCGATCCAGACACATAAAATGAGACGGAGGGAGTATTATTATTAATTTTTATTATTATGTACACAAACTTTATAATGGTAATTCAAATCCCTAATTACTAAATTCCTCGGCACTCTTGCCTCATCTGCAAATTTGCAATCGAACAAGCCTCAAATATTGCTATTGCTTAAGTTTATATGCTTGCATATGTATATGGGTGAAAGTTAGATTTAGGCGTTCAGCGTAATTAGTACATTCAATAAAATTAGAACACAATTTTTGTTGTATGTTTGTGAAATGTGACTTTATTGTTGAGCGTAGGAATTGATGTATGAGGTCAATCTATAGGACCATTTTATGGCACTCGAAGTAGAAATAATAAATATGGGAGTGGAATTCTGTTGTTCAGGCTTATGATCATGTGCTATTTATTTTGGTGATTTCATTTTCCCTTCTATTTAAGTTATTTTTGATTTTGCTGGTTAATTTGCATCTGAACGAAAAAAATTTGTTAGACTATCTAAAAAAAAAAAATTATAAAAGTACTCGATCTTGGCCCATCTGGATTCACCAAAGTTTTTTTTTTAAAATATTATAAATAATTTATAAAAGTTGGCTCATAAGCTATGTTAGCGAAGAGGGTGATAATCTCATGGCAAATTATTATATCGTGCACCAGGGACTATTCAATATATATATATATATATATATATATATATATATATATATATATATATATATATATATATCGTGCATCAGGGCGCACAATGCATTGTGCGTCCTAGCCCAAGACGACGTCGTTTTGTATTTTTTTTTTAATAGAAATTTTGTTTCCCGTTTCTGCTGTTAACTTCTAAAAAAAAAATTCTCTGTTTCGAATGTATAGAATTGTATAGTAAAATACACATAAACACAAGTGTTTAAAAAAAAAAAAATTGTAACGGAACGGAACGGTTTCCGTCGTGTCAACTCCCCACACAACTTATAAAAACGACGCCGTTTTGAGCCAGGGTGCACAATGCATTGTGTGCCCTGGTGCACGATATAACGATTGCATTTAAATGAGCTTGGTTGAACTCAATGGATCCAAAATGGATTTTAATTTTAAATTATTACTTATTAGTAAAAATAAATAATTAATTAATTATTTGGGCTGAAACACTAGGAAATGTTGAGAATTGAGGTTTCTAAACCAAACTAAATACCGAACCAAAACCAAAAAACCAAACTGAATACCGAAATGTCCAGTCCTATAAAAAGAAAAAAAAAAAAAACGTAGTGACCATTCAAAACTATTAGAAATGTTGGACGTACGTATTACAAAATTTCATATCATATTGAATAATACTCTCTCTGTCTTATTTTATCTATTCTACTTACTATTTATTAGTCAACTCAATTCTTTCTTCTTTGTAATTTTCTTTAGTATTTTTGACTTATTTTTAAATTTAACTTTTTGTGTTTAATAGTACTTTTAGTGTAATTTCTAAATATATAAATTTGATATACTAATACTAGATTTAATATTATGAAAATTTGAATTAAAAATAATTTCAATCAAGATTCATTAATTGAACCAGACTCATAATATGAGAGGGAGGGAAAATATAAGAATGTGCTCAAAACCATTTTGTCGGCACTAAAGTTACGTCTTGGTTTGTGGGTGTTCTCATTTAATTTGTGGAAAAACCATTTTCTCGGCGCCAACAAAACAACAAAGTATAATACTACATGCATGACGTACTATACTGCTGCTCCGCTGCAAACAATTTTAGTCCTTTTAATTTTTATGGAAATATTCCGGGCCCTTTGGAATAACAGGGCGTTTGGTTCACTGTAATTTAGTTGTAATTGAATTGCAATTCAGTGAATGTCTCAATTATATTGTTTGGTTCGAGAGAATTGTAATTTTACAGAATTGCAATTCCCTCCTTTTGTTGAATTGTAATTCATGGGTACAATTCAATGAATTTGAGAAAGGAAAAAAATATGAAATGACATTACTACCTCTTTGGTTGTTATTACTATTATTATTACACCAAGGTATTTTAGTCTTTATACCACTTATTTCCTTCTCAATTTCAATAATTCTATTTCTCCCTACCAAACAACGTAATTCGAATTCCTACTTTATTCACACCTTATTCTTTTCCCACCGAATTAGAATTCATTTCCCCCCTAATTCCTTCCTTCCAACCAAACGTATCGTAAAAGACTTACAACAACTAACCAATTTGGTTGGCGTGTGTGAGTCATGCACCCTCATTCCTTAACAGAAGTCAGGAGAAATCGTTATACCGTGCACCAGGGCGCACATAGCAATGAACGGCCCGCGTCTCCCAAAACGACGTCGTTTTGTTAATTTCATGTATAAAATTCTGTGCATTCTATTATATAATTCTATACAGTCGAAACATGAAAATTTTCAGTTATAAAATTCTGTGTATTCTATTATATAATTATGTACATTCGAAACATGGATTTTTTTTTAAAGTTAAGAGTTTGTGTATTATGTTAAGAGTTTATGTGTATTATGTTAAGAGTTTATGTATATTATGTATTATGTTAGATTATGTGTATTATCCTTTCAAAAAAGATTATGTGTATTCAGTTATAAAATTCGGTGTTTTCAGGTATAAAATTCTGTGCATTCTATTATACAATTCTGTACATTCAAAACATGAGCTTTTTTTAAGGAGTTAACAGCAGATACGCGAAAAGGTACAAAACGACGTCGTTTTGGGCCAATAGATTTGATGATATATCTATGATTGTGTTTATAAATACTATGTTTGGGTTCAATCGTTATGCCATGGAACTGTGTTCACCATCCATGGTGAACACGGTCCCAACGATAACGGAGCACCGTTATCTTTTTTTTTTTTTTTAATCGCGTGACTTTTCTTCTTTCTGAAATTATGAATTTTCTTTTATGAAATTATGAATTTTCTGTTATTAAATTATGAATTTTCTGTTATGAGATTATAAATTTCCTGGTATGCTATTATGAATTTTCTGTTATGAAATTATGAATTTTCTGTTATGAGATTATGAATTTATAGAAAATTCATAATTACATAACTGTAAATTCATAATCTCATAACAGAAAATTCATAATTTAATAAATGTTTTTCTTTTATGCGATTATGAATTTTCTGTTATGAGATTATTAATTTAAACTACATTCATAATCTCATAACAAAAAATTCATAATCTGAACAAACGCACGCTGTTAACAGCACATCAACTAAATAAAAAAATTTCTACAAAAACGGTGTCGTTTGGACCCGTGGGCATAATTTGCGGTTTGGGTTGGGCAGTTTAAGTAACAAATTAAAACCAGCAGATCAAAATGACTTGTGCAGAGAAAATACAAATATTCATCTTACCAGTTCGTCATGGAAAAGACATTCCTTACTCTTGCTTGTTGCCCCTCCTCGCAGTTCAGGTACCGGACTCTGATTGCTCTCCTAGTGTGGAGAGGGCTAACCGACAAGAAGTTACGTACTGTGATGGCATTTCTTTTCAGTAGATTCTGCAGAGTAAATTTGAAAGCCTTTCATTTGTGGTGTACAAATGTACAATGCCTGATTACACCACTATTTATAATACACATTTTCAAAAACTGTGTATATTTTTCAAATTAAATGCTCGCTATTAATTATATTAGAGATTGAAGAGACCATCAACCATAATTAATCTCTGAGATGGTGGGTATTAATTAGGAAACAATTTTTTTTTATTTATTTTTTTTTTTTGAAGAAACCATCAGCCGTAATTAATCTGTGAGACAGTTGGTATTCATAAAGGTTTTTTATTTTGAAATATGATCTGCGGATTCCAATAAATAATTTTCACATTGTTTTCACTTTCCATGAATGTGAAAACAATTAATACACACATGGAAAGTTGCATGAATAGTGATCAAACGACTTCATTCACATAATTACATACAGCCAAAATGACGCAATATTATTTAGGCGGGAATCTGATGTGATAAAAAAAAATTACTATTATATAGAGTAAGTAAGATAAGATTGCGTAAATCCATTAAACAAATGAAAACTCATTTCACAAATAGTACAATAAATAGGTGATTAATGGAAGATCATCGAAGCACTCCTAAGATAATGGCACCCAAAGGTGATGAGCCTCAAAGGCAACTAGGTTTAAAGGAAAATATTGTTGTACATACATAGAGAATATCTCAAGGAACCACCCAACAAAGAAAACTAAACCAACAAGAGTGCTTAGGACTCTTATAAGCACTCTTATTTTAGACACACTAAAATTCATTTTCTCTCTCCCTATATTATTAGGAATATTATTATTTACCATTCCTATTTTGATTGGGACCTCTTTTTATCCTTATAAACACATCTCTTCATCATGTACTTTATATCATCATTGATTGATCAATAATAAGATTATTCCCATAACTATTTTCATATGGTATCAAAAGGTCAAATGATATAGGCTAGAAACCCTTCACAAAAAAATAAAATAAATAAATAAATAATCATATCCATTGCCGCCACCGGCGGGCAACACCACCTCATCTTCTCGTAACATCTTCAATATTGCCTATCCAACCACAATCCCAATAAATATTCTTCAAACAGCCCATCATTTTATCTGCATTAAACTTACTTCCTCAAACTATCTATTATGGAAGATTCAACTTGTTCCCTTTCTCCATGGTCCAAATCTCAATGGATACATTGAAGGCACGTTTTTGTGTCCGGCTTCATTTGTTAAGGCTTCGGATGAGGAGTGTCATGTTGTAGCTGAGCTCTGGATGAGTGTTCCGTTGTAGCTGCGCTCTGGATGAGTGTTCCGTTGTAGTTGCACTCTAGATGAGTGTTTCGTTGTAGTCTATCATGCGACAAAAAATTTGGTCCATTAGGATTCTTTAATTACTAATTTTTTGAAAGAAGGGTTCTTTTATTTTGTTGGTAGCATCAAAGGAACTACAAGGAAATTATAACTCTACAAGAAGACCAACTGACATACATCCTCACCAACAGTGGCGGACCCAGGATTTTCCTTCAGTGGGGGCAAAAAAGCACAGGGAAAATAAATTAAAAAATGTTCAAATACAAGGTCAAATACAGATAAGATACTTTTCCTTTTAGCCGAATCAACTTCAAGTTCATCTATGTTAAATTCAATACGAGGCCTTGCACTTGACACTTCGGGACTACCCTGACTAGATGAATCCTCAAAAGTTGATTTTCTTTTAAAGAATTTTTCCATAACTGAACCAAATTTCCGACAAACGAATAACATAATAACATATAATTCATTATTCATGAGTTTAGAGATAAAGCAATAAGCAATTCAAGCCAATTTAATTAATTTTAAACATATACTGCATACTTTAAACATGTACTGCTGCAATGGAAATTAAGCAATTAATTAAGAAATTAAGCAATTAAGCATACTGCTGCAATGGAAATTAAGCAATTAAGAAATTAAACATATACTGCATACTTTACATATAAGCAATTCAAGCCAATTTAATTAATTTTAAACATATACTGCATACTTTAAACAATTCCAACATGGCAGTTTACAACATACACTGCATACTTTAAACATATACTGCTGCAATGCAAATTAATTTTCAAGCCAATTTAATTAATTTTCAAGCCAGTAACAACTTGCAAAATCAAGAAAAATCAAGTAAGCCAATTCCTATGCAGCTATGCAAATTCAATGGCTATTAGGATTTAGGGCAAAATTAAATTAGGGAAAAATCAAATTAGGGCAAAATTAGATGAACATGGGATCAGAGATTCGAAGTATTTGAACTGACTACTGAGAAGGGATCAGAGATTCGAAGTAAAACCTGGCAGTGGAGTCGTCCCAACACGGCAGTGGAGTCGTCCGGTGGTGGCGTCGGTGGTGGCTTCGGAAGTAAAACCTGCTGCGCTGGTGGTGGCTTCGGAACTCACGGAGGAGACGGAACTTGCGGTAGCCGGTGGCCGGTGGGCCGGTGGTGGCGTCGGAACTCACGGAGAAGACGGAATCGACGGTGGTGGACCGTGGACCGCTTTGCGCTTCAGCTCTGAGCTCTCGCCAAGGTCTGGCCTCTTCACGCAAGTAATGAAATAAAAAAAAAAATATATATATATATAACAGCCCAAAACGACGTCGTTTTGGGGCTGAATGATTTTGGGCCGTGGGGGCAGCTGCCCCCATGGCAGGTCCGCCTCTGCTCACCAAGTCATTAACCACAACAAGGCTAAATGGATACATCTAAGGGACAAGCCCAATATTTTCTCTAAAGAACCTTAAACTTGATGGGAAACATTAGGACTCTGTATTCTAGGCGCACTAGAATTTATTCTCTCTCTCTCCCTATCAAAAGAGTTTGAGCTTATCAAAACTCTCTATCCTACAGCTATAAATAGGACCTTTCATTTCTATGTAATCAGACATCCTAGGAAAAATCATAGAAAGAACTCTGAAGCTTATTCAGAGATCACAATAAAAATGTGATCCTGAAAGTAAAAACTCCTCCTCTATATGTTGATGCATGTTGATCCAAACCCCCATTGAAGATCAAGCCATTTGAACCCGGAGGCCCTTCAAGAAGAACAAGCTATACAAGCCCTTCTTTGAAGATCAAGCCACTTGAAACCCGGAGGCCCTTCAATGGTGGAGTGTTCAAGGCATTCAAATCGAAGAATCAGAGGACCATCCAGAGACTCGTACCCACACCCCATTGATATTTGACATGTAACCCAGAATTTTGAATATTAAATATATTTTATTCAATTTTTACACAGAACAAGAACAACAAGCATACACACTTGCACGGTTTTAGCTCCAAAAATTCTCTGCTTCTAATCCTTTCTTTGCCTAACTCTGTTCAAGGCTTTGCTCTAGTTCGCCGGGATCGTTCGTTTGGATGCTCAAACGTCAAACCGTAGTACGTTTTATCCTGAGAAACCTAGGCCACAACGCTCCTAGCACTTTTGGAAGGTGGCAAATAAGGATTTAAGGAAAGAGTGATCTCTTGACTCACGCTAAAAACCCTATACCCAAACACGAGCCAATCTCCTTAGTCTTCGGTTTGGATTATACTTCTAAGCAAAAATCCTCCCTTTATATATGTTTTTGTCGTTGGATTGGATTTATAATCTAAGGATTATTAGTTCCAATTTTTTATTGATATATCTTTTTCCAAAGATATATATGTATATATAACCTTTGGGTCCGTTTTATATATATTTATGTGTATATATATATATATATATATATATTTCAGATATATATCCAATAATATTTTATATATTTTTGTGCGTATATATAAATATTATTTTTGGGATATTAAATCGACTTTTGGTTCATTATCACCAACATTAAGTTCGTATGAGCAAAACATCCCCATTTCTATCAACATAGCGTGATGCCAATTTGGATATGCAAATTATACTTTGGACTAGCTAGGGTCCACCTTGTATTATGGACCTTGATCCAAAATGTATTTAGATTATGTGTCTGCAATTAACATAGTTAACATATTATGTGCCTATAATTAAAAAAATATGTACCTTCAATTTATTTACAAACTGTTGTAATATTGTTGTGTTGGCCTTTAGCTCTTAACCGGTGATTGCAAGATTGGATTACAATGTAAAGATAAAAGTGAAGTGAATGTAGAACAATAGACAAGGAGAGCCAAGACAAGGAATTCTTATTCAACCATCTCTATCTTCCATACAACCATAACACATCTATATATATAATATACAAATGTAACGGAAGACATAATGCAGCCATTAATCACTTAACCGTTACATAATCAATACTAATAATGGCCACAATAAAAACATATTTATAACACTCTCCCTTGGACATTATTTGGCTACGATATTGCCTCATTAAAAACTTGCTAGGAAAACCCTGTGGGAAAAACCTAGACAATAAGAGAGTACAATAGAAAATATATTCATGCCTCATTAAAAACTTCACTAGGAAAACCACGTGGAAAAAAACCTAGTTGAAGAAAAGAGTACATGATATATGTAAAAACATATATTGTATTGGTCGCCTCATTAAAAACCTTAACTTAAGAAAATCCTGTGGAAAAAAACTTAGTTAAGGGAAAAAGAGTACACCATTAGCCTTCAGGGCATAATCTGCATAATCTTCAGGATTTTGGAGTTTGTTCATTTATTAACCAATTATTTTGCAATTTTCCCCATTGTCATTACAATATCATACTCATGCCTCGTTAAAAACCACACTAGAAAACCCATTGGGAAAAACCTAGTGAGGAAAAGAGTACATGATATGTATATGCTGCAAAAAAGTATAACTATCAGTCCTTTTAAGACCCAATCTACATGATTGACCAATCTACAAGATTGACTCGAGTGAATGTACTTCATGTCTCCCCCTGAAGATAACAATCTTCAAATTCTATATTTCCTGTAAATCATTGTTTCTAAAGGGTGTAGAGAAGGGATATGGTACAATTTTCAGGATTGTCATTAGAATTTATCATATTTTCTCATGATCATCTGGACCAATAAAAATTATTTATAGTTTATATTTTGTTGCTCCCCCTAAATATAATAATTTTTCTTTACCTACACATATCAATCTTATGAATATTTGTAGGTATACATTTGCTAACTTGTCACTAGAGCAAACCTTCTGAACAAATATTTTATCACTCTTCTGGAGTTCATGTGGATCAAGGTATTTTATATCATGAAAAACTATATACGTTTTTATCTGTAACAAGTATGATGACTTCATGCCAAAAGGCATCAATACGAGTATTTGTACCTTGATTTGCTATTCGTTATCTTTTCTCATAACATAACATCATTAAACTCTTTATATATTTCATTGATGTTTACACCATAAATATTGACTGAGATAATAAATAAGTCCATTATCAACTCTTTATTGAGCACATAATGGTACATATTATTCCTTCTATATGAGGATAATAACCCCATTTGCAACTCTTTAAAGAGTAAATAATGACACTTAAATAAATCCTCATTTCGGGAATTATAAATCCATTAGGGATTTTTCAAGATGAACTAGAGGATATATTTAGGATATTTTCAAGAGGAAACAATATTTAAGTTTCCTAATCACATATAACATTACTAGGCATTTTTATGATAATATGTTTTCATAAGTTGTTATGGGAGAGAAAATACCTTTAGTCAATTTATTGACTATAAGAAAGATCATAGTTAGTAACTTACTAACTTTTATACTTCTTATTTTGTGATTTTCATTCATCACATTTTGAGAAAATCCATCAAGGATTTTAAATATAAGTAACAAGTTACCCATATAAACGTGTGATAACTATAACTGTTAGCTACATATCTAATTTATTTACTGCTAGTTTTATTGAATAGTGGAATATAAAGCCATGACTAATATTGGGTCTCTGCGAAAACCCTCCACTCGCCTTTTATTAGCGAATTCTGATTTGTATGCCTTAATTGCTATTTTCTATGAAAACAGTTAGCACGCTGCAGGCGTTATACTACTATTTTCATTTCTGGATCCAGACTTAAGTATTTATGAGCAATAGAGGCAAAAAAAATATGTTGTCGACAACTGTAACCGCTTTGTAAATATCTTTTATACACATGGCAATTTTGTATCAACCAAATATATGGCATTTCCCAAAAGTATTTGGATTTGGTTGTTCCGCTTCCCCAGTATTTTAGTTATTTGGTGCACCTACAATTTTACTGGGGGTTTTCGCCTCCTAGACGAATATCTTCAGGATAAAATTTCTATATTTCTGGAGTGACAAAATTTCTATACTAGATCTAGTTTTGTAAATTCTTAAACCAATATATGCTTCTGGCATAATGGTAGAGATGTTTAGTCCTAGTTGGGGATTTCAACTCTTAAAATATTTTTTATGGACTTAGTCACTCTTTGGAATTTCTAGCAGATAATTTGTTCAATGTCTGAACTTCTGGTTCGATAAGGCTAGTACATGGGTTTGAAGATTCTTTATCAATTTCTCGGCATTTAATTAATTATAAATTTCAAATCTCCCCCTAATGCCGAGAAAAGATCTTATAATGCAACCAACATCATTGTTGATTTCTCATGATGGGATATATCTAGAAGGGTTGCATACTAAAAAAAAAATGAATGCAGATAGGGAAATGCATCTTGTACTAGCGTATGTGATATGTAGTGGATCACCATATTGATTTTTCAATTTTGAAGGTCCCCAAAAAAAATATTTCCTCCAAAAATGCTTAATTTACTATCCGAAAAAAAATGTCATAAATAATATGAGCAAAAACCTGCATGCATGGAGCTAACATCTCGTAGTATGTTGATGAAATTAGACACCAAACATTCAAAAAAAATCTTGTCGAATTTTCACTTCTGGTGAAGCCACAACTTTCATAATATAATCCTGCTCCATATCATTGTTAAAATTTTGCTTGAGCAAAGCCAAGAGCATTGTACAATGCCCGGGCAGCAGTAAGCCTAACAAATTTTATGCAAATAAATTTAACATGCCATAGTAGCATTTCATCACATGCAAGCTAAGGTTTAGCAACGACAGGTGCACCTTAACAGAACTATCTCACTGCCTTTAAAAATATTTGTCTTAAAAGTTTGCTTCACGTTGTAGCATTCATGGCCTATAGCAAATATTTGTTATCAACAAGAGAAAACAACAAATCCTCTTTGTTTTATGGTTCACATAGCTACAAAGCAAATTTGACTAAATAGAAGTTCTCAAATTCTGAGCACATTATGAACAAATGAAACTGTGTTGCCAACATCATAATTTGCTATCCCAAAAACCAATTAGGCATTCAAATACCAAGTCTAATGCAATGTGAGTATTGCTATCATCATGCAAATATATGTGTATATTCTCAAATAATCAACTTCTCAAGGTGCTCAAATAATTCAAGATATTGAAATTGATAGCAAATTCCATGAACTTTGACCCAGATTGCAGAATTTTCTGGGGGAAAACGGTAACACATTTTGGCAAAAAAAATTGCAGATACGAAGTTCAGCAAATCTAGAATGTACATAAAAATTTTCATGCCAATCAA